TTGTTTCCCATCAGTATACTTTTCAGCTTCTTTGAACCATGGGATGTTTTCATCTGTGCTTGCCATGTCAAATATATTTCAGGTCAGATCAGTAAGCATAATACCTAGAATGTTAATTCACCGATACAGCTCTTCCACCTATGGCTTTTACGTTCATTCATGCTGCAACAATGCTATAAACCTGAGAGGTTGTTAGTCTTTACGTTATAAATGTAATTTATTACTCTTCCATAAAACTTAGTGCCAAGGTGCAGTGCATCATACAGCTAGTATGAATCACAAGAGGATGAATTTACTTGTTGAGAAATTTGCAAGGAAAAAATCCACACATGATCTCTGTAGTCCTTTAAAAATAATAAAAAGAATATAACAGAAGACAGCTGGTCCATGTGGTACCCACTGGGCTTTTTTGTGTGTCGCAGCCTCTTCTGGCCACTGTGTTAGTATCCTAGACTTGTTTGCAGGCACTAGTCTCTTTTTTGCCCTCTTTTCACAGGAGGCTGCAGTGATTAAATACTTTTACATTTTCTGGCTTCTTACAATTATGAAGCCTCCTGAGCTTTATCTATTACCATTGCTTCTAGTTTTTCTCATGTCATACCTCAACATCAGTAGGGCAGCACCTGCTTATTTCTGGGTTTAAAATATCAAGCATCAAGGGCAGTTAGTTGGGAGATCTGGGAGTGAATTTCATATTGACCTCACCCAAGGTCTCTGGAAGATGTTTAGGAGCAGTCAGGAGAGGCTCAGTCTCCAGTATATCACCATGGCCAACCTTGATTTATGAACTGATCTTTGCTAGGACCTTGCTCCACAGGACAGCAGTGGTCTGAGATGAGTCAAAACCCAAGGAAATCTGTTAATCAGACTCTTGCAAGAACATACTGAGTTCAGGAAATTCTTGGTTTGGTTGAGTTTCTTTGTTTCCTCATTCAGCTTTTAGTAAGAATCTATTTACAATTATTAAAATGGAGTATTGGAAAAAAATGCTTAGTTTTAGAGATCCTGAACTATTCAGTAAAAATGAGAGCTCACAGTGAAGAGCTGAAGAAGGATCTCACCATATTAAGTCACAAGGGATAAAACAGATATAAATCAGAGTCAATAAAGCCAGAGTAATGAGGAGAATGACCCTAGATGTGCATAAAATTATAGTCTCCAAACCAGCCACTGTCTCTCATGAAAGATATCCTGGAGTTAGAGCAGTCTGTTTAATGAAAATGTTGGATGTGTGCCATAGGAAAAGCTATTGGAATGTCAGGAATTATTAGGAAAAGAATAGAGAGCCAAGCAGGAAACATTTGCTATGACACAAATTATCAGCACCTGGAAAAGTAGTGAAAAGGACAGCAAGGACATCCAAGACTCAGAATGACAAAATGACAAAATACATATACCAAGTAGTAGAAATATTCAAGACCTTTCAATAGATAAAAATTGTCAGAGTATCCAGATCTCCTAGATGTTCACGTGATAGGAACAGTTACAAGCTGCAGTCCTTGCTAATTCTGCATATGTCTGTGTTGTTTTCTCTTGGATTGTTAGGGTCAGACTCATTTGATGAGATGTGGATGCTTACGGTCTGACAGCTGCCATCAGGGAATGGAAATTGGCCCTGCTAGGGAACAATTCACCTCATTCTAAAGTAGGTGTCTAAAAACATCAGCTGAATTGCACCTGAAAAAAGTTTCTCTCTCTTCAACAGCTATGAAAGGAGTCTAGATTCTGGTGTCTGGAATCTAGAGTCTGGTGTCGATAACACAGATTTATGTTAGGTGAGACAACTCACGTTGTCTCATTGACTGCAGTTCATCTTTGAGATTCATTTCTCCTTAACTGATGTGCCTTAAATTAGAATATCTATGACTGAGCTATTTCTGTTGGTTATCAGTACCACTTGCAGAGAAAAAAGCATCTCTACAGGACAAGTTACGCCACCCTGAAGTAAACCTTGAAGGTGCTTTGTTTCAGAAGCCTAATTTAGGTGAGATAAATAAATTTAAAATAAAGAGAAATAAATCTGTTTGGTGCTTTGCACTTAAGACATGAGATGGGAACTCTGTAGTATTCAGTTCACAATTGCTATAGCTGGAGTTTATTTACAATAATTGGGACTTTCAGAATCTGCTATCACATTTCTGCTTTAAGAGTATGATATTTGAAGTGAGGTTTAAGGCTGATAATCATACAGCTGCAATTTCCACACCAAGGTATTGGAAGGCAGTAGAGCCCAAAATTTGTTTGTTTTCCAACTGTTTCATGGCCCTCTGGTGTCTAGGACTTTTTCTCTCTCTCAAAACATGTTCTGTAGCACGTATTTTAGGGTAGATTCAGGCTGAGATTGTCATTACCCTACATACTTGTGGTCTGGCCTAGTATTATCCATCACAATACTGTCATGTGTTGAGCCTTGGCAACACACTTAAAAAGCTATTTTTTTAATGTGATATAGCCAGTGTTTTGGGTAGTTTTCTTGTTGTGTTAAGGAGAAAGGCCAATCCTTGCAGCACATCAGTTCCCAGAAGTTTGTTTATATTATAAGAGGGGACTGCCTAGGTGCAGGCAAGCACTCTGAACTGCATATTCTTTATAGGTACTTCTTCCTTGCACAGAAATAAACGATTGAAGCAAATGGGTGGTAAAATAGTGCAAAGTCTTCCTAGCACAGTGGTACAAAATATTATAGTCTAATCCATTCACCCGGTTTTGGCCTCCTGTTTCAGTTCTCAGTCAGGGTCTAGAAGACACTGAAGTAAAGATGCAGTTGCAACTTCAGCTCTCTGGCATCAGCCACAGCAGCCCATCCTCAGACTCTCACTTCCCTTAGGAAATGTAGGAGTGCATTCTCATCTGTTTTACTAAGAAGTAAGTGCTTAAAGCTGCTGTTTTTAAAATTGCCTCAGTCCTGTGGCAGATTATGTGTGCTCCATGTGCTCAGCGCTGCATGGGACACCTGCTCTGCATTTGGTTTCCTTCCCCTGGCCGTGACTTCTTTGCTTGGTTCTCTTTCAGGCAAACATGCCATGGTGCTAGGAGATTATTTGATTTCCGCACTTAAAAGTGCTTGTATAAAATTATAATGGTGACCTGCTGTTTGCCTGTAAGATAATGCTTTTCTCAGCTGCTTGTGCTGAGCCCACTCTTGGTGTAGTCCAAAAAGTCCTACCCAGCAGAGTGCAAAGAGGCAGGCACTCGGAAAGCTGAGGATTGCTGCTCGTTATGTCCCTGAAATCACCAACAGAGAAAAACATTAAGTGAATAGGATTCAAGTAAAACAGCCAAAAATTAGACTTGAAAAAAAAGAAGGAAATAAAGAGGGTTGAGGGTAGCAACAGATTCCGGCTCACAGACAGTTGATTAAAACTTATCTGCCACGGTTTTTTGCACATTCTAATTCTATACTTAGAATATTTTTCTCATTGATTTTAAAATCCAAATTCTGTACATATGCAATCATGGTGCTGGTCCTCTAAAACTCCTAGAGCCTGTATCCATTGCCATTTTTCCTTCTGCATTATTGCTGAGGTCATGATAACCTCATCTACAGTTAGCCACTTCTTAGCTAGCCGCTTTAGATTACAGACCCAGGGTACTCTCCCAAAGACCTCATTTGCTAGACACTGGTTTTAGAATGGATGTGATTAATTGCTCTTTAAAGCAGCACATCTTTCTCTGTCTCTAAAGGCAGTTTAGATAGATGTTACAGTGTAGACACCAAAATTCTGGGTGGCTGAAGGTTGATGGATGAATCCAGCCCTTTGTGCCTAAATTACTTTATTTACTAGATTTCTATTGCTACTAAAGGCTCCTCTCATCAGGCATGATATCAGCATTTTCTGGAGTCTGGCATATTATTGACTATCATCTTGGGACCTGACCTTTCAATGAAGGAGACTATGTCATTTTTGCACTAAGCCAAATGTTCCTGAGGTCTCTGTGGGAGGGAGAGGTATGGTGGTTCTGAGTTAAATTTTTATTGCTTTACTTACCATCATTGTAAAAACTAGGTAGAGTTTTCAGGGCATCAGAAAAAAATGATATTTTAGTTCTTCCGTATCTCTAAGTCTGTAAACCCAGCGAGCATCTCCCCATGAATTTCTGGGCTGAAAATGCCCACTCAATCTGCTTGCTAGAAAGATTCCTATGGCTCTAGAGTATATTTTATTTCACAGCCTACTCTGGCTTCCTTTTTAACTACCAAGTGCCCTGTGGTAGCTGGCTCTTACAACTTGGGGTTGGGTATCTTTACACGTCCTCTTGTGCTCTAGCAGTGCATGTGGTGGCTGTTTCTCCTCCTACTTTCTTAAAAGCAAATATGGAATGTTTGTCTGTGGGACAGGTAACCACCCAATTCCCCAACAACAGTTCTGCTCCTAGCGTTTGAGAAGAAAACCTGAAGAAGATGCTGCCTTTCAAGAGCCTATATGGAGTAGATGTGTTCCCAAATTTAGTCTTCTAAAAAAATCATTTTGAGCAGTGAGTGCAATGTGCATCAAGGCAGGGACAACTGCATGTGGAAGAAAACAGACGATGCTGCAGCATTATGAGTAATATTGCCACGTAAGCACTGTGCACTTCGGATTTTCCATGACGAGTATTAATTTCTACTGAATTACCGTTTATTATCTGAGCTAGTTACCTTGCCTGTGAGATGACCTCCTAGCAGTCAAGGGCGCTTCTTCAGGCATGTGATTAGGAGGCATCGTTGAAGAGGAACCCTTGAACCAACCTGCGTTTGGGGACTCTATTTGCAGGAGAGCTAGTAGTTCTGCCCTTCGATGCTGTGCGTTTTCTATGTGCTTTATTGATTTGCTAAGCCTGTGGAATTGTCTTTAGCAATATACATGCAGTGGCATTGCATGCATTTCAATAAGTGCCTCCTAGAAGCGCTGACTGAGGCAAACTTGACAGTGGTTTGTGGTGGGATTTTGGAAAACTCCTAACGTGTCTGGCAAAGCTACATGGTTTTATTGAAGTGCGTGTTCTTCCCCCACCTACAGACCCTAATATGGTTAATGCAGGAGACATGAATGGTTCTGGCAACCTGATGGATTTTTTGGATGAGCCTTTCCCTGACGTTGGGACTTATGAAGATTTCCACACCATCGACTGGCTGCGGGAGAAATCCCGAGACACCGACAGGCACAGAAAGGTAAAGGGAATAGGCTTTAATATATCACAGCCCCTGAGTTACAGTCATCCTAACTGTGGAAAAACAAGCAAGTTTCCAGAATTCTTTCCTCCTAGCTGCTCGTATAATTTCAGTAGGATTTATGAAAATATGTATGTGGTGGATCTTGAGTTTGTCAGTATGAAAATGGTTTCTGTCACTTAGAGTGAACAGGAGCATCTCTTAAGTGTGATTGGGACTGGGTACTAAAGAACAATGTCTACTGCCCAGTAAGTGAAATAGTTTTTGTTGTAAATGTGGTATAGTGAAACAGTGTCAGTCTGAATCAGCAACATGCCTATGTAAAGTACATAAACATATATTATTTCAGATTACAAGCAAAAGTAAGGAGTCCATATGGGAGTTCATCAAGAGTTTGCTGGATGCCTGGTCAGGATGGGTTGTAATGCTTCTCATAGGACTGCTGGCAGGTATGTGTGTGTGTCAGAGCTGTGTCCAGAACCACCATCTCACCCAGATTTGCTGCAGTGCCATCTGCTTCTGGTTTTCTTTCATTGTCCAAGATAGTTATGCATCCATATAGTTACAGTACTTAAAGAAAATACTCACTTGCGAAGTCTCCTGCTGAGTGTTGACCTAGAAAAAATGTTAACAAATAAAGGGATTTTCTATTGCTCTTGGAAATATGTTTCTGAGTGCTTTATCCATGATGGCCTGTTTAACTTCCCGAACCTTTGAGTCACACCAGTAAATTTTATTTGTTAGGGTTTTTAACTTGTCTTCAGTTAATTTAATTCTGTGAGTGCATACTACCATGTGGAGAGAGAGAACAGTGGTTGCTTATGATCAAAGGGAAGCTTTGTATACTGCTAGATTCACTGGGTTATCTTCTCTATACATGCAGGAAGGGAAAATACGATTTCACACTTAGTTCCAAATCTGCTTCTAAACCAGCAGACGTTGCACATATTTAACAATATGCTCAGATGGCAAATTCATTAATTTCCCAAATTTATCCTGTCTTCCACTAAGTTTAGAACATTTTCCAACTTGGAAAACTGCACTTCTATTTCTGAGTTGAAACACTGCTGTTAATGGTTTTTATGGTTTTTTGTTTTGTTTATTTGTTTTATTTTTATTTTTTTTCCAGTCTTATCAGGGCACTAACTATCAGGCTGGTTGGTAACAGCATGGTGCAGTTTCATACAATTTCCATTCAGCTCCAGCGCAAATTTCTTGCTTACCAAGGGGCAAGTTTATTTATTATAGTTGTTTTAAAAAGTTTGAGAAGAAATTGTCATCGCTGACATGAAATTTTGGCATATTTGATGAAATACATTATTTTGTGGTGGATTGAAAGCTGGCTGTACGGCCAGGCTCAGAAGGTTGTGATCAGCTGCACAAAGTCCAGCTGGAGACCAGCCACTACTGCTGTCCACTGGGGCCAGCACTGGGGCTGGTACTATGCAGAGCCCTAGTTAATGCCCTCATGATGCAGCTACTGTTGTCCCCTTGCTGGGGGTGAAGGCACAGGTGGGACTTGTAAGGAGATAAGAAATAGAGGAAGAAAGGTGCATCTACAGGTTCCCAAAGGCTCCTGAAAAAGTTATTTAGGTCCAGTAATGTAAAGTGATCTAGAAGTTTCCACCACACCAATTTAGTCAACTATATCTTTCATGTTTTGCAGTAGTTTCTGCAGTTGTGTTAAACCGACATGACCAGAAGTCCCCTAGTTCCCCAGTCACGAGGCCCCATTGCTTTGTGGATGTATGTCTGAACAGAGGTTTGGGCCTGGGAACGGAGCTGCTGAAAAACACGGGGTTTGGCCAGATTAGTTTTCAACTGGATCAGTGGGGTCTGTGGGGTGATTCATTACAGGGCTGTACAAGTGCTGGTGCTAGGAAAACATTGCTGAGGGGAGGACTCCAGGAGAAGGGGTGGGATGGGACCATCCGTTTGGCAGTAGTCATCACTCCTGTCATTTCTGAAGTGTCATTGAAGTGGCTCCCTTCAAGTCCCAGAAAAGCCCAGGTAAGAAGGGAATCTTAGGAGGGAGGGTGTTTGGTCCAGCCTCCAGCTCATAGCAGGTACAGCTTTGAAGTTAGAGCTGTATGTTTTGAGTAACAGCTAAATATTTTGAGAACATAACAGCAGCTGTTTTGATTCAGACCAAAATTTTGTGTAACCCTGCGCAGAGAAACCAGAGTGTGTGCAAGTAAATCAGCAGAGCACCCACCTCACCACCACAGCCCTCCATCTCAGCTCGCTGCAAGCACTGAGCAGGCCCTTCCTATGGGCCTTGAACCCTCACGTGCCCTGTAGATGCCATGTGGCACTGTCACGTAGTTGCCAAAGCACTGAGAAGCTTCTTGACACGAGGCCTTGGCAGCCAAATGCTGCTCGTGTTGGAAGCAGGGAAGGAGCAGGAACATCCAGGAGTGCTGTCTGGTGCAGAGATTAGGGGTGAAGTGCTCAAGATAAGGGTCCTGGGTGCTATCTGAGGTCTGTGTCAGTCAGACATTTTTCATGATTTTTGGAGGAATGTTGAGCAATCAGGAATAAGGAAACTAGCCTAAAAACACTTGGGGTGCAAGTGCCAGTAAGCCCAGTGCTTAGGCACTTGTTTTTAAGGAGTTCTGTGTTTTAATTTGCCCATTCTCCTGCTTGCACTAAAATGGTTACCCCTTAAGGTAAATATCTAACCCAACTAACTAACTGAAGATATATGCTGTTTATAGTAGGTAGCAAAAGAGTCCGTGCTTTCTAAAGCTATGATGTGACAAACAATGCTATCATTCTAATGCTCATACAATGTACTGGAATTGGACATGCAAAAATCCCCCTTGTATTTCATTCCCATGCTACTTAAGTGAAGCAGTTTTCTGTCACAGGTGCATATAAAAAAACATGTTTTCAAAGCAAATTTTTAGCATTCTTCTTAGAGGGTTTTGAAGGATAAGTGTTTGGCAATCATCAGCCAAAGTAAAAAAGGGAGAGGGAAAAGACTATTATTTAAAAAACAAACTTCATTATTTCCTGGCTTTGAATTGCTTCATTATTTTTAATTTTGTGAGGAAGAAAGTTCAGCTCTTCTGAACTTTCAGTTCTGAACTTTCAAAAGTATGAAAATAATCCTTTGCTGTGTTGCAGCGGTGCAGTGACATGCCCAGGCAGCCATGGTTAGCACAAAAACAATAAAGACTTGACTTTCTGAGACACTGAACAGCCTACGACTTCCATTAATTTGACTTAAAGTTGTTAGCCTAGAACTTGTGAAAGTTTGTCAGGACTTGTGAAGAGTTCTCTTGGCTTCTGAAACAATATTGCACCACTCCCATGCAAGTCTTGGCCTCCTCCTCTCATGGTTTTCTTTTCTGCAAAGCATGTATGCTAAGCTGCTTGTAGCACTTGCCTCTTTATGCAGATTCCCAAAGACTTTGGCAAAAGGGATTAGAACAGTCATGTGCTTGAGCACATTTTTTTAGAGGTTGCTGTGGTATATGTGAACCTGTTGCATTTAATAGCCTGATTAAGTGTTAAGCAAATTTTGAAGCATGGGGTGACTACAGAGAATGATAACTGTTGATCAACAAGTGCAAGAGAGACAGCATTTCATGCTTGTGGCTGAGGCTGCTGTGTGCTATTTCCAGAAACTTTCAGAAAATCTAAGGAGAAGGAGATTTTAGAGTTCACTAAACTACAAATGGTGACATTTCTAGCAGCAGGGATTTATCATCACCTAGGGATATGATTCATAGTTGCCACCGAAATTTGTGAAACTGGAAATGGTAAACAAGAGAAAGCCAAGTTTTTTATGAGAGAAAATCCTTGGTGCAGATATCAGAGCCTTTTCTTTTTCTTATCTGTCGAATCTGTACGGTTCTTCAGGCTGTTCCTATAGAACACAAAGTTCTTCATTGCTCCCATGGTCTTACTGCTCATCACAGTGTGGTGACAGGTATCCCTCTTAAAGGCATGGCAAGACGTAGCGTTGTGTAAAACTCTGTGAACTTTTGATTTTTTCACTTTTTCCTGTAGTGGAGTAGAAGGGTCTCGCATGCCTGATTTACCTGAAATATTTATTTCCCTCTTTCACAAAAATGAAAAACAGAAAACATTTGTCTCAGGACAAACTGACTCATGTGTACACCAGCAGCTGGGGGCAAAGGGGGCAACACCAATGGCCTTTCTGCCATTGGTGTTGTGGCAGGAGATCCACCTGTGTGCACCAGCAGCTGGGGGTAAAGGGAGCAGTTCCCACCCCCAGCCTTTCTGCCATTGGTGTTGTGGCAGGAGCTGCAAAACTAGAAGTTTTTGAAATGTAAATGCAAGCAAATCTGCCTTTCCCCAAACCTTTTCAGCGTTTTTCTCCTGATGAAATAAATTGGTCAATTCTGTTTCAAGTCTGTGGATGGTTTCCTGAAATTGTATTGCTTGTCAGATAAATGATTAGCCATAAAAATACTGCCGACTTCTACCTACGAAACATTTTCAGACTTTCCATTTTATGTGACAGAGGGATTCAAAATATAAACATGCCTTTTTATCACTTGATGGTTTGATGCTTTCCAGTAACTAAGCACGTAGGGACCCGAGAGCAAGTAAGCAACCATGTCGTGCCAAAGCATGTCGTTTCTGTGCCCTGGCTCCTTCTAGCCTCCGTGTTCAAGCTGGTACCGCAGTTGTGGGGACACAGCTGCTTTACAGGACTGGTGCCGTGGGAGGTTGTTTTTGCTTGTTTGCTTGTGTGTCTTTGATTAGCCAACCTCCTAGAGAAGCAAGATGTTCCCTGGGGGCTCACAATATGGCTTTTACACTGAGTTCTGTCAGCTAGCCGCTGGATGTCAGTGTTGCTCTGTGTAATTCCTAGGAAAAAACTGCTGGCGAAATAAAAAGTGCAAGTCTTACAAAGAGATTTGAGATAGGGTTTCCTTCTGCATGTTTGGATTGCGAATGAATGTCACGTTGGTCTGGTTCCGCTGGTCAGCATTTGGGCTTACTTTTTCTGGAATGGTTATTTTTCAAGGTCATTGCCCTGGAACCAGTGCAACTAGGGGAAAGACGTGTATTCTCCTTTCCCATTCCTTGAACACTGGGTGGCTTCAGCCCTGCAGCCTGGTGTGTATACAGAGACCCTGGGTAAAGCCTCACTGACATCAGTGTAATGGTGCATGGGACTGAAATAGACTGCAGGATCAGGCCCTATGTTAGCACTGCCTTTGCATCTAGTTCCTCAGATAAAGTATTTTTACTTTTATTATGATTAGATAAGTATTTTCCCCACAGTCTGGAAATTCCTATTTTTTTTTTTTATGTGATGGTGTCTTTTCATGCACTTCTTTTTCCAGGCACGCTGGCCGGAGTGATAGATTTAGCTGTGGACTGGATGACAGACCTGAAGGAGGGTGTCTGCTTATCTGCCTTCTGGTACAGCCACGAGCAGTGCTGCTGGACGTCTAACGAAACTACATTCGATGACAGGGACAAATGTCCCCAGTGGCAGAAATGGTCTGAGCTTCTTGTAAACCAGTCTGAGGTATGGGAGACCTGATTAGTCTGGGGTCTCGGCCGGCCGGGGAATGTCCTTTTTTCGTAGTTTCAGATATTCCCGCCAAGGAGTTCCTCTGAAAGAGAAAGTAACAACCTGAGCGCATTGTAAAAAAACAAAAAACAAACAAACAAAAAACATAACCAACATCTGCTCACCCTGGGATAGGTCCCATTGTTTCAGAGTCACCTGTGATGGAAACTACAAAACTGTGTGAGATGTCTCTTGTTTTTTTTTTTTTAATCAGTTTTAAAACAAAGGAGGGTTTCATAACGCTCATAATATACCCACTGGAGGACCTTAGCACCTATCCAGACTTTTATTTTAAACAGTTTTCTAGGATATAAAAAAAATGCCCCGACAAATGTATTTAGAAGGTAATTTTCAGGGTTGCAGGGGTTTTTTTTGTATGTATGTACTTATAATTCAAATGCTGTGAGTAGTCGTGGGAACTATGTATACACTGCTTGTTTTGCCCTTGAATCAGTTTATTTATCAGATAGATAGCAAAACGTTTGGCTAGCACCAAAAACGGAGGAAATAATGGACTCATTAGGAGATGGCCAAATTGAAAAATGTGCTAGGTGAGAGCAGGAAAGGAGAAAGAACTGATTTGGACTGATTTGAAATTTGTATTTTAGAAACTTGTGTCTATCCCCTTTTTTCAATTAGAGTAATTTTAAATACAAACAATGGTACTTCAAAACAAAACATGTGAATATTCTGTTTTGAAGACATCGAAGAAAGCCTATATTTTTAGCAGATGATTCTCTTATTAAAGACATGACAATGCACTTATTTTTTTGACCTAAGCTATTCAATGTATTGAATAGCATTAAGTACTTCCAAACTCAATCTTTGGAAAATAAATATTGTATTGAAAAAAATCTTCCATTTCTGTAGGTGACTCACACAAGGTAAAACTGAACATGGATGGGAGAGGTGCAGCACTGAAGAGGATTGGTTTATTTAATAGTGAAGTGCATAAAGGGATTCTCTTTTCAATATCCAGTAATGCAGTATAGTCTATAGTTGGGGAAGAAAAGGTATATTTTAATTTTAAAAAAAGCATTTCTCACCCGATGATAGATAAGAATAAAAAATGTGTGACTTGGAGATGGCCTTGGGTGTTCCCCAGGGTTAAGGTGATCCTGCCAAAAATCTGTGTGGGCAGTTTCACTGCAGTGCAAGAGTTAGTTGTTTGTGCTCAGTTTAGTGCCATTTTAGGCCTACAGTGCAAGTAACACTAGATGAGGGTGTCTGTGAATGTGTATGGCCCAATTATCCCTAATTCCCATTAACAGTGGTGAAAGTTGTGAGGTGCTCGCTCTTCCTCAATCTTTCCCCCATCTGTTCTGTACAGTTCATAGTGCCAAATTTCCCTTTGCCATAGGTCGGCTAGGTTTTTGTTGGTCTTCATAATCAGATGGCTGTCTCTCTGTAACACTGAAGAAATATTGCCCTGGTATGAAGTTTCAGGGGATAATGTTGTAATTTAAAGGAACAAAAAATACGCAAAGGGAAGAAAAGAGAGCGTGTTACAATCGTTATGGGATTTGGAGATCCCGGCGTGTTTGACATGCTGTTACTCTGAAGTGCTGGAGTGTTTAAATGGAGCATGTCCTTGAGAATATATATTGCTTTCACCTGCTACATGAACTCAGAAGGCAGCACTATTGTGTGTAGTGGGCTGCAAAAAAGGTAGCATCTAGGTGGACACCATGAAACTTTGCTCCCTCTATATTCAAACTGGGCTTCTGATCCCCTAGTATATTGTCACAGTGAGAAGATGGGGAATAAAAGTTTACTCAGCTTACCTTGGGTTCGTTTTAGTTGCTGAAAACACATGGGCCTCTAAAAGCTGTATGTTTCTGACTGCCATGACCAAAAGGATACTGTAATATTAGTATGATGGCTGCCTATAAGTGTTACATAGAAATCACAAAGACCAATACCCCACCAAAAATGTGAATATGAAAAATAAGAATTCTGTTCTGTAGCAAAAGACAGACAATACAGGCATGATTTCTATACTTGTACAGAATCCTCTAGGAGTGCTTAAAATACATTCTGTTTTATTCAATTTCTGGGTGATTTTTCATTTTCTTTGTTAGTTGCTTCATTTTGCACTAGACATTTGAGTAATAGACCTATAAAACAGCAGTGCACAGAAGGACTAATTTAGAGCACATTTTATACAAAGCTCTTGGAGCAATTTCCCTAAAGCTCTGGTCTGATTTGGCTTCTTTTTATGCATGACTGTGACTCCTATCATAGCCAACTAAAGTTGACATTTTGAGGACTAAGATTTAGACCAGTTCTTCCATGTGGTTCTGGCCATTTATGATTGTGATAAGCCCCTGTACATATGTTCTCACTGAGAACTGTGACATTTCCTAGGGCGCCTCTTAAAAGTGATTTCATCCTTGCTCTCTTATAAAATGAGCCCGAAGCGGCATCTTGATATAAATTATTATGGAAAAGACAATAGCACATCAGAAACATACCGGGCTATGTTTCCTCCCCTAATCACTGTTTTACAGGCTAATAATATTGTTCATCCCTCTTGCCCTTAATCACTTCCAAAGAGCAGGAGGGGAGTTTCAAAGGCACAAATCCCCTGGGCAGCAGTGGGTGCATAAAAGCACTTCAGACGCCACCCACTTTAGCTACAAGCAGAATGTCCAGCCAGTACCTGGTAACCCAAATCTTCCCTGTTCTGTAGGTATAATTCGGTCCAAACTTTGACTTCACCAGAGCTAAGGACCCCATTTCAGTGCTTCACATCTGTACAGGCAGGAAGAGGACCACGTGTTCTTCATGGCTCATGACAGCAGATCCAGTGATGGAAGTGACCTTCCACTTTTAACAGCCTTGAATCTGACAGGCTTGAGAGCCTTGAGGGGAGACGTTGCAGCAGAGGCCACAGGAGGGAGTCTGCAAGCTGTGAGATCCCTAGCCCACTCACAGTGAGCTCTCAAGCTTTGTAAAATAGGAGCGTCAGTGTGCGATGGATGGCATCCTGAGGGATGTATTTTATTTCAGTTCCCTGTGTTTGTGAGGGTTGTTTTCAATTGCGCCCCGTTCATTCTGCATTAGACTGAAACCAGATTTGAAATATTGCTGGTTCTTACAAACTAAAATCCTAAATTTTCCTCGGTTGCTTGCTTGATCACTACTGTTGCCAAGGTCTGTCCTTTGAGCTGCTAGTAGAAAAGGTCTTAGCAGGGTCATCTCTGCCTATGAATTTTTTCAGTCTCTGATTCCAGTGTGCATGCTTAAGACTTTTACTGATTCAGGGCTTAGGAATGGCATGCAATGAATGAGGCATCAGCAATTTGCTCTACTGAGTTACTACTATTTCTCTTCCCAAAGGCTTTATTATTATTAATCATTAAAAATGCTGAATTGGACCTGCAGAATGACAGACATCTGGAAAATGTAACAGTTAGAGTTGTCTCAAAGTAAGACTGAAATGGCCACAAAGACCCTTGTGAGATCTGTGCAGTACAGCGCAGTAGGTGTATGTATGATTACAGTAATGAGCTGACACAGTGTTCATGTGACTTCTGAGATGTGAAAGAGTAGGAAGTTAAAAGAAACAATGTTAATTTGACTCAAGTGAATTTGGAATCAAAACTGCAGGTTTAGCTCAGCACTTTAGGATGAAATAGTTGTAAGGAAGGGCATTGGTCGTCTTTGGAGCTAATCCAGGTTCACGCTGACAAGAGAATTTTGCCCTGGAGCATCATACCTACAGTTTTCTCTAGAGGAAGGGTGATTATTGCTAAAGCTGTTTTTAATTGAAAACACTAGCAGAAGACATTCACAAGGAAATGAGATAGACAGCCTTCAGCTGTGGCAACAAAGATCCATGGTTACTACAGATGGATGTCAATCACCATGAGTGTGGAATCCATGGTTTCTTAGTTCCAGGGCACTTTTCATGATGTATTATTCTTTTAACTGTTATCAGCGAAGCCAGCTGATAACAACATCAAGCACAACAGGAACCTAAGGAATTGTCCTTCTTCCAAATCCATCCATCAGGATAAGGGCAGTGGTTCTCTATCATTCTTTCCCTTTGGATAGAGACCTGAAAGATGATGCTAGCAAGCATCCATGCTGTTAAAATCTGATTTTTGCAGGACTGTGTACAGGGAGACTTTTCAACTCTACGTTTTTGCTGACTAGGAACTAGGTCTGGCCAGCTCTGTTAACTGAAGACATGATACAACTGATTAATGCCTGTTTTCCTGCTTGATTTATCTTAATGTTCATATCCAGGCTTCTGTCCTGCAGAGCAAAGACAAGGGCCCTGATGTTCTTGAGCAGCTGGGCTTGCATCCTGTAGGAAGAGTTCACTTAGGGGTGAAGGATTCATACCAGTTCATCCACTGAGATTCATCTTTTTTATTCTGTAGTGTCATGTTGCTGGAGGAAAATATTAACACCTTACGCTTCTTGTACTAAATTGATACCCATGGCTACCCTCGTTTTTTTTTTTTTTTGCCCGTCTACATGGTGTTTTTGGCATAAGACACATTTTGTTGAAACTCTTCTCAAAAATTATTCCTGTGAGGGAAGAAGATATTGTAATGAAGATTTTAACTATAATTTTGACTTCACTATTGAGACAGGCAGAGTGCTTGAAGGTCACTATAGACCACATTTTCACTACAGCACTGCACAGTCAAGTGTGGCTAATGATCATTATCATCTCCATTCTGTCAGTAAAGTAAAGCTATTTAGCTTAAAGGTAGGCTTTATAGACTGGAGTGCTTTTATAATATCAGGGCAAAAATGACAGAGATGTGTTTGAGTGGGATCTGTCAAGCTATTGTGTTTTCAAATGATTTTCAAATCTATCATAGATAGTGTCATTTAGAAGGAAAGATGTATTTATGCTTTTACCCTTCCACTCTGTGAACTGAACTGGTGACTAATATATACAGAGATATAGTTGGAAGGATTGCCACTAGCATGGAGAGCCCAACGTTGAACACCAGCCCCCAGAGGAAAAAAGGCTTCAGGGTCTCATCCCTTGTCACTTCTTGGTCATTACAATTAGGGAAGGGGATTACTAAACACATCCAACAACTCGGAGAAACCTGCCATGGAGTGAACACAAGAGGTTCCTTGGATGCTTTTTTATTGTCAATTGCATTTACCCTTGTATCAGATTTCTGTGATGCTGCAGAACTTTACATGGACAGCTTAAATTTTTAGTGTTTGAAGGATATTCTGTGTAAGGCATTCAAGTCTGTTGCAAAAAAATTGATTCATTGGGTTATATATGTATTATATGCGGATAAGAACATTGTTGGAGTGTATAAAACAGTTTGTCCTTCCCAAGCAAAAGCATCAGCTAGCATGTAAATGAAAAGACTTGGCTCCATGCTGCCATGATCCCTAGCAGAAGGATGAGCGTCACCAAACTGCATTTGTCTAACAATGTTTGTTACTGTTATTTTTCTAGGGTGCAAGTGCTTACATTCTAAACTATTTTCTATACATTATGTGGGCTCTATGTTTTGCTTTCCTGGCAGTCTCTCTGGTCAGAGTGTTTGCTCCCTATGCTTGCGGCTCTGGAATCCCAGAGGTGAGTTTCTTTTCATGGATGAATATCCAAAACACATACAAAAAAAACAAAGAAAACATTATTTGTGGCCTTTTCCCATTCCAGGGGTGTACTAAGAACAAGTTGTCTGAATATTATCTTTCTGACACATTTATTTCATTCCTTTGTCTAATATGTCTTAATGGTTCCCATCTAAATTATTCAGAATATTTTCAAATACCATACTGCCTATTAATATCTACTCATTAGAAGATTATGCAGAAGTTTTCTTGGATTAAATTACTTGACCTAATAATAAATGACAGACATATTTTAGGCTAAGATTTAAACAAAAAACAGAAACGAAAGTAAAAATAAACAGAGACGGAGGGAGAGCTAAGATTACTGAAGCAGCTGAACATGTGAGATGCCCGTCATTTCAGATGCCTGAAAAGTGCCTGGCTGTTCTTCTCCTGAACATTGTGTTCCTGACCACAATGTCACACTGTCACGGCAGCAGGCAGCATTATGGCAGCCAAAATCTCTAGCTAATTTTTAGTATTTTCAATACTGAGCCTCAAAAGATATTTAAGCTGTTAAAGTGAGGAACCTTCTAACAGGGGCAGTAAGTTTTTATAATTAACTGTATATCTAGTTTTAGAAAACAACGGGTTTTTTTATCCTATTCAGTATCAGTTTTACGTGATACTTGTATGTATTTGCAAGAAATGTTTTTAGTAGCGTTGGCTGTTAAAGTGAAACCACTAAAATGTCACATGAACACTCTTAGTCAACTCTCTTTTTGCCATAGCCAATAAAGCATAAGCTTGGCCATCTTAGATAATACAACTTCAGTTCAACTTTTCACTGCTAAAGTAGTCATGAACCTTCCTTCCACCTCCCCAGAACACTGTTTTCGGGTGATATATTGCAAGTGAAGATCGCCTTCAATACCAGCATGCTTCCAGGGCCTGTCTCCAAGTCTAAATCCCCCCTGCAGCCTGTGTTTAATGCTCATGCATTGTGTTTAGATACTTCTTGAAAAACTAAAGGGAAATATGTAAAAATAAGATCTCTTGGAGCTTCACATTTCATTATACTTGCATGTTTTTATGGCACCGCCATTCCAAATATTTAGAACTTTTTTCTTTATTTAACAGGGAGAAGTCTGTAATTATTTATTAGCTTTTTTCTGCTTTGTCTAGCTTTGTTCAGTCTAGTTTAACTATGATTCTGCAAGCCAGGAAGATATGTAGGAGTTTCATATTTCCATTGATCTCTGTGAGACTCCTTACCAATGCAGGGGACCACCCATAATAACTGTAAAAATGTGGTTTGCTTAACCCCTGCTCAGATAGCACTGTGCAAAGGGAAGGTTGCCCTACCCAAGGTTCTCTCCATCCCTGTCTCTCTTCAAGCAAGTTCAGAGTAGAAAAGTGTTTTTTTTTTTTTTTTTTTTAATTGTTCAACATGTTCTTCCTGCTTTACAGATAAAAACCATCCTGAGTGGGTTCATTATTAGGGGCTACCTGGGAAAGTGGACACTTTTAATCAAAACAGTCACCTTGGTTCTGGTGGTGTCTTCAGGCCTCAGCCTCGGGAAAGAAGGGCCCTTAGTTCATGTGGCCTGTTGCTGTGGAAACTTCTTCAGCAGCCTCTTCTCAAAGTACAGCAAGAATGAAGGAAAGAGAAGAGAGGTGAGGTTGGTTTAGATCACCCTTCATTCCCCTCTTGCAAATACGGCTTTTCAAAAGATTCATGTGTTGTACCTAAATATTTGCTTTGTAGGTGCTTTCAGCTGCAGCAGCTGCAGGAGTTTCTGTTGCCTTTGGGGCTCCGATTGGAGGTGTACTTTTTAGTTTGGAAGAGGTAAGACCTGTCAGTTCACTTGTTTCAACACAAATATTTTCAATTGATTGCTTTTTCTAGTGTTCCTTTTTATTTTTCAAATATTTTCGTGATTACTTTCTTTTAAAAACACAAGTGACCTCTGTTTTCTGGAAATAACCAGATATTTTAGCATAACTTGGGTGAAAGAAGAGCTCTGGTCTCTTGGAAACGGATGAAATAATCCAATCTGGAAACAAAGCTGAGTTTTCTACAGCTTTCAGCTTGCTACCATGTAGCCCAAGTTTTTCAGTACTCATCTCATCTTCCCTATCCAGCAACTAAAAGATGGAGTCATCTATTTTTAACCGATTGCAGCTTCCCGTCTGAAATCTGAAAATGCCTTTTTTGATATATTTCTGAACACAATCTGACTGTGGCTACCCCCAGTGCTCTGGATACTTGTAGTGAAGTCCTGCATATCATCACAGATGAAGCACGTGAGCACACATGCGGTAGCCTGCCATGCAGAATGCACACGTGAATAATTAAAGACAAAACGCTCCATCCTCCTCAGTGAAATGTTTACTGTTTCTGCTTGGTTTTAGGTCAGTTATTACTTTCCTCTGAAAACCCTCTGGAGGTCATTTTTTGCCGCTCTTGTGGCCGCCTTCACACTGAGATCCATCAATCCCTTTGGAAACAGCCGGCTGGTGCTTTTCTACGTGGAGTATCATACCCCCTGGTACATGGCGGAGCTTTTCCCTTTCATTCTGCTTGGCGTCTTCGGGGGTCTCTGGGGGACTCTGTTCATCCGGTGCAACATTGCTTGGTGCAGAAGGCGAAAAACCACCAGGCTGGGGAAATACCCCGTGCTGGAGGTTATCGTGATAACTGCCATCACGGCCATCATCGCGTACCCCAACCCCTACACGCGGAGGAGCACCAGTGAGTTGATCTCGGAGCTCTTCAATGACTGCGGTGCCCTGGAGTCCTCGCAGCTCTGCGACTACATCAACGACCCAAACATGACCCGACCCGTGGATGACATTCCTGACAGACCTGCCGGCCCCGGCGTCTACACGGCGATGTGGCAGCTCGCCTTGGCCCTGGTGTTTAAAATTGTCATCACGATATTTACTTTTGGCATGAAGGTAAATTGGGGATTGGCGTAGGGATCACTGTGGCACTTAGTACGCAGTGTTGAAGTTGTCACGAGTCCACGGCACAAATAAGTTGTTATCTGCAGCTATGGTCTATGTGACAGGGTTTCCAGCCGTGTGTGTGTTGGCTGTGACACCTGGTAATTCACCTGCCTGTCACCACCTTGCTCTGCGTTTCCAGGCCGCAGCAGAGCCCTGGTGTTGCACCTTCCAGTTATCTTCGCTTCTGCTAAGTGAAAAGGATATCTGTCTGAGAATTCAAATGCACTATTGCCAACAAGCAAGTTCAACGTTATTCCCACTGCAACTGCCTGTCAGCTCTCTCTGATACATGCAGTATTTACAGTGTTGTTTGTCTTGTTGGATTAATGTCTTAATGTGCCTCAGGGTGGCTACACTACTCTGGGAAGTATTAGCTTTGAATTTGCTGATTTACACATCTAAAACCTTAAAAGGATATAAAAATAGACATCTGAAATTATAAAAAAGTTTAGTTGAAATGTTCTTTTTTAAGCACTATAGGTTGGAAGAAAGAGCGAATGAGTGGGAGGACTGATGGATGTACGATTTTATTATTCTGGGTTTGCAGCTTTCTCTTCCCACTCGTCCTCCTCCTCATAAATGGGTGTTGAAAGGTCCGCGAACAATTTATCCAAGCTTTCAATATGTAGAGAGATGTTTGTGGCAAGTTTTATATGTCTGATTGCTGAAGCCCATTTAAACCACATATCTGTTTGTCTGCAGCTGCCACTGTCTGAGCGTTTCGTTCTGGATCCGATTGCAGCAGATGATGTGATTTTTTTCTGGGTTATACGCTATATATAATGCCACACTCAAAGCTAAAGCACTGCATATTTTTTTCTTAAAAGATGAGTTTCAAGTGAGGCTCTAGAAGGCCTGTTACTGGGAAAAATAGTATGAAAGTGCTGGAGTTTTTCTTTCTTTCTTTTTTCTTCATTTGGGACATCCCTGATGAAGAGCTGTTTGAATGATGGGAGGTCATAGAATCATAGAATCATAGAATCATAGAATGCTTAGGGTTGGAAGGGACCTCTAGAGATCATCTAGTCCAACCCCCCTGCATACGCAGGGACACCTAGAGCACGTGGCACAGGACTGCGTCCAAACGGGTTTTGAAGATCTCCAGAGAAGGAGACTCCGCAACCTCTCTGGGCAGCCTGTTCCAGTGCTCTGTCACCCTCACTGTTAAGAAATTTTTCCTTAAGTTCCTATGGAATTTTTGATGTTTCAGTTTCCGGCCATTTCCTCTAGTCCTATCAGTGGCCACCACTGAAAAGAGACCATCCCCGTCCTCTGTACTCCCTCCCTTGAGGTACTTATATACACTGATTAGATCCCCTCTCAGCCTTCTCTTCTCCAGGCTGAACAGGCCCAGCTCCCTCAGCCTCTCCTCATAGGGCAGATGTTCCAGGCCCCTGATCATCCTTGTAGCCCTGCGCTGGACTCTCTCCAGCAGCTCCACATCCCTCTTGTACTGTGGAGCCCAGGTCAGGAACAGTGAAAGAATCCTGCTGATTTCCTGATCAGGCAGGATGAATAGGACCATAAGAGCACTTGGATACTAGTATTTCTGGAAGGAGATTTGAATTGATATGCCCTTCACTGCAGAATATGAGCCTGTTCAGGTTGAACGCCAATCACTTCTTGTTGGTTTATTAAGTAAAACTTTAAGTCTTGATATGTGGCCACATACACTTAAAACTTCTCAGAATAACTGATAGTTTTAGCTGTTCTTGAAAAGAATAAGCCAAGAAATTTTACCCACAAATCTAGAAAGCCCAAATGGATCATATCAGCACCGTTAATTATATATTGTGGAGCTGGGGAGATTAGCCCTGCTCTTATTAGCACTAATGCCTGTGAGCCATGCTGAGGTTGGTAGCTGGGTTCTGTAGGTAGCTCAAGGTGTATCTTCAAAAAGATATAGCACTCCTTTTTCTCCTAAAAGCCACAAAAACTTAATATATGCAAGGTCCTTTCAACAGATCTGAACTGTCTTTTCTGTCAAAAAATATCCCTTCAGCTCGACAGTTGTGCTTGCCATATGAGAGAAAATTCATTTAGACAGGACAAAAATGGCCTGTTCTTTCATTTCGGTGCTACTAACGGCTCATGACTTCTCTGTGTAGCAGACAACAAGGTAGTGATTCACTGAGCTGCCTGAAAATCTTATAGGAAAGCAAGATGAAAAATTAGCTGTCTCTCTCTGAGAAGTCAGCCTCCTTTCTCTAAATTTTTATCCTGTTTGACATTTAATTTAAAACCTGGTCTGATTTAGCTTGAAAGATTAGGAACAATGCTGCAAAGTACTTCATGTGATAGAGCTCCATTTCAGGATGTTATTTCCAGTTAAGTTTATTTTCCAATCAATGACACAGGGCAGCCAAACATAAGCAGCTCCTGAAAAGGAAGCAGTAAAGGAAAAAACAGGTCTATCTTGATGAAGAAAAAAAACACAGCCCATGATTCAGAATACCATTTATCTGTCAAATTTACTGCAATGCAGAGGCTAGCATACAAAACGGATTTTAAAAATGCATCAAAATTTTGTAGTCTATTTATATATATATATATCCCCACAACCTCACTCACTGCAGAAGCCTGTCTCAGGCCGGAGGTGGCCACTGCAGGCTAGCCAACGACTGTGCCCTTCCGCACTAGTATTTGATAAGAAAGCTGCATTCCCTCTCTACCATAAGGTTTATTTAATTAGTAATTAATCAACTGCTTGATCAATAATTTCATTACTGGTCATTTTTGCCAAGGCTATCACATGTCTGTGTTTTGTTCAAGATCCCTTCAGGCCTTTTCATTCCCAGCATGGCTGTTGGGGCCATGGCTGGCAGGATGGTTGGGATCGGAGTAGAGCAGCTGGCGTATCACCATCATGACTGGATCGTCTTCAGGAACTGGTGCAGACCTGGGGCAGACTGTGTCACACCGGGACTTTATGCTATGGTGGGAGCTGCAGCTTGCCTGGGTACAGTACCTGCTAATCTCTGCTTTGTGCATGAGTAACACTGATCTTCAGGAAACAACAAAATATTTAGGAGAGTTTCAAGCTTGTGGTATGTGGTATGCTGGCAGTTCTGGTGTAACACATGGGATGAGGAAAAGCGTAAGCTGCTTTCTCAAATGGTGTTCCCAGTGACCTTCCAGGTAGTCAGTGAAAGAGAAGCTTGCAGCAACCCATGTCTACTTCTAATCTTCCAACTCAGAAAGAAAGGAAGCAGATATCATACTCGGGCTACAAGTTTTTGAGGAGGAGTATTTTTTTGTGAATTTTAACAAAGTTCACTGTAGCTGGACTTAAGCTACCTCCTTGTTTAAACTATAGAGGGCACAAATTTCTGAGGTCTGGTCAAATCTTGATCTACTCAGAGATAAAAAATCTTGGTCTTATAACTGTTCATCACATTCTGGTCACCTGGATTTTTCTTTTTTGACTTTAGCCAAAATCTGATATCACTAAGTCTATAGTTAATGGCTTTAACAGGCATACCCTGTTACCTTTTAAAGTGAGACCATTTAATAATACCTCACATATCAAATTTCTAGTCATAGATGTAGTGGAAATGTTGCAACTATACCACGGAACATATTTTTCTCTTATCATTTCTTTCCAAATATATACTTGTATTTTCCACTTCCTTATGTTATCATCAATACCACCATTAGATGATGAAATAGGAATGGAGAGGTCCAACACATAATTAATATAATTGCGTAGACTTGAAATGAAAGATAGAGCAGAGCTGGTAGAGTTTCCATTTCAGAAACTTTTGTTGGAAAAGTAGGATCCTTGGCAAAGTAAGTCAGTTGTACAAGGAGGATGTGACTTGACTATCTAAACCTAATGTCTGTGATGCAAATATCAGCATTTGTTGTGTCAATACTTTTTGTGGTCAACGCAGAGAAATACTGAAGCGGGCAGCCTCACCTGGCAATAGACACCTAAAACCAGGCAAATGAAAAGATGAATTAGGCCTTGGAAGTAATTGAATCTCTTTTTCTCCAGAGGTTAGGAAGGCAATCTGGAATACTGTTTTGGATGTGAACATTTGCAACTGTGTGGATGCATATAATAACATTACTGTTTTCATATAGCAGTATCATAATAGCATTATAATGATGCATTAATCTTAGAAAGTACTTCACTCTCTCCTATCCACAAATGGTTTTAATGTTCTTAAGGAACAAGACACAAAAATTTTGCTCTGATATTTCAGTTCTTCTGCTAGTTGGCAATCATTTCCTCTTAATATGCTCAAATCAATGTGCAGTAACTGCAACTGGATAGTGAAATACAAACCAGAATGGTCACGGCTATTTGTTACACCCAAGATGTGTCTATTCCAGCACTCTATCTATCTCAAGCAGATATTAGGGAAACACTGAAGAGTCCTTTCTCTGGCATCTGCTCTCAGCTTTTCAGAGTCAGCAGTTTAAGGAATTCCTGAGATGAAAGTTGTATCCCGATCATCATATTTAATAATTACTGATTTAATTTTCTTGTGTGCTGTTAGACTAAAAGCATCTTTTAATGACCTGTTTGCAGATTTCTCTCATCTAAAATGGTGTTGTATTCCGAGGCCCAAAAATAGCAGATTTATTACATTTACCTTTTGAACAGAGGCAAAGAAATCTTACCTAATAATTCAGTGTTACATACACACTTATCTATAGTTCTGTGATTATTTTTATCCTTTAATGTAAACTGAAAGGGTATGTAGATTGGTTATAAAATGAATACAAAGGATTAGACTGAAAAGTACAGCTTTGACATTGTCTACAGCCACATCCCAAATGGCCTCAAAGAAAGTTGTATACACTTCAAACTGTATGCTATACTGATATCAAAAGGTAAAATTTAAGCTGTCATGTCACTTGCAGTGGCCCTAAACTGTCTTTACGCAGGATTTTGTAACTGTGGCATACCCAAAAATCATGTTTAGATTTTTATTCAGTAGGAATGATACAGCTAAACCAACATGAACACCAGCTGTCAGGGCTCCCAGCTCTGCACTCCCACCTGCACTTTTTTTCTCTGTGTAATTTTAGAGGGATAATGGCAAAATCCAGTTTTAGTTTCTTAGGTATCCAGGATAATAATATTTATTTATTTGTTTGTTTATTTATTTATGCATTTTTTCTCGTTTGACAGCTCAGTCTCTCAGCATTCATTATCTGCTTTTTGTTGTTAGCATCTTTGGTTTAAGCAGGTCCATTTGATTTTTTCTGATGAAAACTGCAGCAAATAAAAATAGAAATCTCTCCCTCTAGGGAGCTAAGAACAAAAATACTTCACAAAATTTAAGTGCAAAGTATTGGCATGAGTAGTCTTGCGCCTTTTTGAATGCAAGGCACAAAATCAGGTTGCCAAACAAGTTGTTTAATGTGAACATTTATAAAACAGCACTGAGAAGAACTTGACTGCTTTCGTTGCTGGCAGGTGGTGTTACCCGTATGACTGTCTCACTGGTGGTGATCATGTTTGAGCTCACTGGAGGCCTGGAGTACATCGTACCTCTGATGGCTGCTGCTGTCACAAGCAAGTGGGTGGCAGACGCCTTTGGGAAAGAAGGGATCTACGAGGCTCACATCCACCTGAACGGTTACCCATTTCTGGATGTGAAGGATGAATTCACTCACCGAACGCTGGCAACGGATGTCATGAGGCCAAGGCGGGGTGAAGCTCCTCTCTCCGTTCTGACACAGGACAGCATGACTGTGGAGGATGTTGAGACATTGATCAAGGAGACAGACTACAACGGCTTTCCAGTAGTGGTTTCTAAAGACTCAGAGAGACTCATTGGATTTGCGCAGAGACGAGAGCTGATTCTTGCCATAAGTGAGTAGAGAATTACCAATGTATGGTAAGACTGATTTTGATAGAGATGAAGTAGAGCGTTACTGGTATTATTCACCTTGAAGAATGGATGAGTAAGAGCCAAATCTACCTTATTCCCAAACATTTGACTTGTACTATTGACCAGGACTCCTAGTCGGAAGTATTTGCGTTGCAGCATACCACCTGGTAGATGTTGTGGGCTTGATTTTGTTACCAGTCTCAACAGTATAATATAATTCTGCTCAAGATCAGAGAGAAACTCAACTTATTTGGCCAGAAATCTTTATGGGAATCTGATGAAAAACTGCTTAAGTGCTGAGCTTCCTCAGGTCTCCATGAGCTCTCAGTGGTAGTGGGAGCAGTTGTGAACCCTTATCAGCTATGACAAGATTCAAGTCCATGCTGCCAGCTGTGTCCGTTCACACTAGGGATGTAAAACTTTCCTCTGGGGGATTTTGATGTGACTAGATCTCAGAGTTGGGTAAGAATAGCTCAGTTTTGTTATGGGGGTGGTAGAGAATGGTTTGGTTACCTAAGAGTCCAATCCAGATCATTACTGGTATTAACCCATCAGATCCTCTACCAGTTGGGCTGATGGCTAGATGGGGGTTGTAAAAGCCAGTGCACTGCATGAGAGCAAGTGTTCCCACCATCTCCATAGGCAGATCACCCAGGCCTTCATTGCCAGCATGGCCAAATCAGCCCCGTAGCCTGCCTCCAGCTCAGGTAGTCCTAGAGTTTCAGAGGTCAACCAGGCAGGCAAGCCTGCTTCTCTGGTTGCCTTACATTGTAGAGAAAAGTAGTTTTTATGTAGCTCCTAGACTGGAATGTCAATACCCAAATCTCCCTGAGATGGAATTATTCCTCTCTGTGTGGGCCTGTTTCATTCCTGTGGTGCAGGCTGCTTTAAAATGCTGTTGGCTCAGATGAATGGAGCCAAGGAAGGTCCTGAGGAAAGGTGAGAGCTGAAGAAATAAAATCCATAAATAGAAAATGAGAGGTATTTTAGAAGTTCACTTTCCTGCTCACAAGGACTTTTTATAAAACCAGAATAAAACTTGGAAGAACAGTGCTCTTCAAAGTATGTGGTTTTTAAAGAGATATTTATTTTGGTTTGCTGGATGTAAAGAGATGTAGAGATTCAGTCCAAGAGATTAGACCCCAAAATTATATTCATTTACTTAAAGGTGTGCAGCTGTTACTTGATTCCTCTCTTCTCACCCCATACCAGAAGGTCATTACTTCTGAGATACTATATGCAAGAGAAGAAATGATAGACTTCAGTTTTCCCCCCATTATAGACTGTGCAGCTCTCTCCTCAGTAAGAAATGCTTTCTCATTTTTTCCCTCTGATACATAATTCATCGTTTCAACTACAATGAAAAGAGTTTATGAACTCGATTAATTTTGCATTTAGTGTGGGTATCTCACTTTTTTGCTATCAGTTGTTCCTCCTTCCTCCATCCTCCAAATGCAAAGGGGGAAAAAAGTCTCCATAAGGGTATAACCCTCAGTATAACAATCTCAACAGCAAAGGATTTTAATGACACCAAGATGAAGTCCAAATCCGCTAGCTGCAGTGCTTCCTTTAAACATGTTTTTATCTGAGGACTGTTCTTCCTTTGGCAATCAGAAAAGATGCCTGATTGATAGGGCTATGCTAGGCCAAAAATGTGTTTCTGAAGTTTCACCAAACATAAAGAAGTCAAGAGCTGATATCACTTATAAAATAATAGAGTTCCTATTTTATCTTGCTTTTGCTAACGATTTTCAAATGTCTTCCATATTCCCTCATGAGAAGTAAAAAATCTTAATTAGATGCATTTGGCCAGCCCTGTTTCTGGTTTGTACTGTGTGTACACTATGTTGTGGCTGTAACACTAGCTGCCATCCTAACTTCACGGCCTTTGAATTTACATTGCAGAGAGTCAAACAGTGGAAAAAAATGCATGGAGTGAAGATGTGGGGCCCTTCCTTGCTTTAAAAGCAGAAAGATCAGACACTGTCTGGAGTGAGTCAGAGAAGTCTGAGGATCTGGGTCTTTTGATAAAGCTTGTAAGTGGCAGCAAGGTTGAATAGGCTTCCTAGGAGATGTTTGAAAAAGTCCAGTTATGCACTGATAACAAAGAATTTAATTAAATATAAACTCAGCCAACAGTTTAGATCAAAATGTTGGGAAGCAGTTTCTTTGACGTGCCCATTTTCTAGAGGAAGATTTCAACTCTAATTAAAAGTGTCTCTAATAGGATCTGAGGCAGAACAGAGATTTAAAAGCAGAAACTTCTCTTCATAGATAAGTTTTCCTAAATCCTCTGTTGCCAGAGACCTTTGGTGACCCTATTCCTTTTGTGCTGAGCATAACAGCTCCTGAACTAACTGTGATAAAAGATTAATCTTTCCAGTACTTCAGAATTTTAGGTGAACATGCCTTGTGTCTTTGTGACTTAAAATCTGGGTTTGGTTTCTCTTCCCTAAAGACATAATGCATGGTTTCAGTAAAGGGTATGGCAATCACTGGCTTTGTACCATGCTAACAATTTTTTGATAGTTAATCCCCTTTCACTGAAGAGCAAAGTTATTTGTATTTCCCAAAGAGGAAGCCACTACATATACATAGTACATAACCAGAGTGTTGTGAAGATTCAACTCAGCTTGCTACGTGGTTGTGTCTTCTTAAACTATAAATTTATTCACCAAGAGCTACACATTTCTCCTGTTAAGGTTCTCCTCTCTTCCTCAGCCTGTCAGGGTCCAGAGATGCTGGAGTTGTGTCTGGAAATGGTATAGCTAAATCTTTGTAGCATTCTAGCTAGGGAATGAAGCCTTCTGAAAATCAGGATTTCTGAACTTGGCTGATGTGTCCATCTGGCACAACTGTCCTGCTTCTGGGCCCAAACTAGTATCTCTTCTTTTGAGCAGTTTGCCATGCAGGATAACCGCTCACTTGGAATTAAATTTGGCCCCTCTACATGATGCTGCATAGCACTCTGGTGTAGCAATAGCAGTAAAACTAAGAGGCTCTATTCTTTTTGTCTCTTCAGGAGGGAAATTTCTCATGGCTTTCAGTTTTTGCTAATGTCTTCAGTTCTGGATGATGTACTGTATGTGCAGATCAGTGGAGACAATTGCAATGAATTGATCGCTCAGCCTTTGGAAAAGAAAAGTAGTGAATGTGTGCTAGCTGATGTTCTGGAACATAAAAGCAAGATTGTTAGATCCAGATCATTAATTCTCTTGTTAGAGACCTTGAATATTTGTTGGCGTTAAGTAGGTGGCTGTTGTAGTGAGCAGAGAGCAGGCTGTGAGTTCATGCTGCTGCAGGCTGTATATCTGGAGTTTCCTGGGATGTCAGGTATAATCCTGTATGGATGCCCATTTCAGTAACAAAATGTGCAGTGTAACATAACACATCATGGCGATGGGTGGGATTTACTAGGCAGGCACAGGCAGTGACACCAGTGTGCATCTCTATGTGACAACCTAGTACCAGAGGTCATAACATTTTTAAGCAATATGTCAAACTGATAAGCTGTCATTTCATAGATGAAAAAACAAAAAAAGTCTACTCTGACCCATAGGAGGCAATGCAAAGACGTCCTCTGCAGAAACAGACCAACAGTGGCTACGAGAGGGAGAGTCCAACATCAGTGCAGGAACTGGGACACCATCTTTCCGGAGTCCTTTCTCAGTCATGGCCAAATCAGAATCTTTCTCTGGCTCAATAAATCCCGTATTTTTCCTGCAGTGGCCCAGGGATTATGCTGGAGGAGTACTCTAACTCCCTTGTGTAAATGACTCCTTGGATGAAGGCATCAGCTGTTCAGTCCTGTGTCAAATACCTGTTCATATATCATGTTCTGCCTAGTGATTTCCATCTCTGTAGTTTCCTTCTCACTATTCAGAGAACTAAGGACACCATGGAAATGCCTCCACTCCCTGTACAATGAATGGCAATGCCATTTTTGATTGCTCAGAGGTGCTTTCAGGAGGATTGTCTCCTGGTGATTTTTCTTGAGTGTGTAGGCAATTTAGGTGAATGTAAGTGATCAGAATCACCCTTTGAGAAGAAGTGTCTACATTTTGAGTGGCATCTACTCTATATGCTTAAAGTGGGGAGAATTTGAGCCCTAAAGCTCTTAAATTTGACCAGTTTCAGAGGCATCGTACAAAAGACAGAGTTTTGGACAGGATCTGCATGGTCTGTATTTTTCCCTGTGCAGAATCAAAGGAGCAATCTGGTTAACATAGGCTGTGAACTCTGAACTCTTGAGTACGAGAGGCACATTTCACATGTGAGAGAACTAATTCACTCCCTCACCAAGGGAAGAGCCCTCTGCGTAGCCTGCTCTGTAAAGCCAGACACCGTCATCCATTTGCTTTGCTCTTTCTCTTAAGAAGTATCTCTTTTCCTTACCCACTGACTGCAAAAATCGTTTGTTCTCCTGTTTTACCATCGCTTTAACTCCCCTATCCAGAGAGATCGCACACGAACTTGGCCGTTTTTACGATGCCACTGAATTTGCTCAGCAGTACTACATCATTCACGTTTCTCTAGAGAGATGTTTGACTTTGGGAAGTGAAGTCATGGCTTTGGCTAATCACTGCTGTCCAGGGTCATTGCTGCCTTGGGAACAGAAATGTGGTAACTAAATGCTTGGGCCTATTGCTCTGGTTACAGCTTCAGGAAGGAAATACCTAGCTGTCAAGGGTTTTTATCAAAGGGTGGGAGCTACCTTCAATTTGATTAATGTTACCTCTTAACCACAGATCATATATCAAAGAGCAATGCAGGCATGTTCACACTTGAAAATTAGATGTATGAATGAAACAAGATGAGACAAAGCTAGCATCTTTCCTATAAATTGCAATAGGACTCATATAATATGTGGGGTGAGAATGTTGAAAAAATCATGTACCACAGTGATATTAGGTTTGAACTAGCACGGCTCTGGTTCCAGAAATATTACAAGACAATGGTCGTTAAGGGGAAAAAAATACAGCTGTAACATTTTTGGAAATCATTACTGTCTACACGTTACAAGTCACAGAAGCAGGTTTCTGCACATTGATTGATGGAAATGAGCTCCAGGAATATATACATATCCTTTGAGTACATCTGATTTTCTGTACCCCTGAAGAATAGAGGCAACCCATATTAATCAAAGATGTTAGTTCCAGCCATTTCTGAGAATTTATAAAAAAAGTAGGAAAGAGAAAAAGAAAGAAAGAAAGAGAGAGAGAGAGAAAGAGAGAAAGAGAGAGAAAGAAAGGAAGAAAGAAAGAAGTAAATAAGGAAAGAAACAGGAAGGAAGGAAGGAAGGAAAAGAAAGAAAGAGAAAAAGAAATTTTCAGAGCCAAACACAAGATACACCTGAAAGGGAGAGGGAGAGGTTGTCTATCATCTGGAATTTCATTTCATATATATTTAGCAACCTGTTGAGTAGAAATCAGGTGAATATGGCAAAGAACGACCACTTAATTCTAAGAATTACTGTGGAAGCATACTGTAAAATGGAAAGCTTGTACGATGGTGTAGACTCCAGACATAGTGTAAAAGTCACCTCATAGATTGATCTTTTGAAGCCTGGAAGGAGATCAAATATGTACTGCTGAAAAAAAAAAATGTAATGAACTCATTCACTGCTAGATTTTGCTCCTCCCATTACTACTCTGCTTTAAGTAAGAGGCTTATGTCTTTCTGACCTGTTAAAATCTAGATAAACGAACTTGATTTGAGGAAAGAAGTGCAAAACAACAAAATTCAACCCAGAGAGATGTAGCTGTCTAGTATAGTGGCAACACAGTCTCCATATTCCTGAGATGTGAATTTGTCCTTCACTAGCATCATGTTTCTAAATCTACTCACCCTGCCCAGATTCCGAATGGACACACTCCTCTGAGCTGACTGGGACCAGCTTTCTGTTGTGTTTCTCACAATGAAGGAAACTTGATATAATCATTTGAATTTGACGAAGTTTGGTTTAGTAATGTTAGCGTCCACAGGGAACAGCATATTTATTCTGGAAAATATTATCATAACCAAGCAAAAGGATGTGCTTGTAAAAAGGGTATTTACATTTGTTTCAGAATATATTTTTTGACTACCAACAATGTTGCAAGAAATTCAAGGGTTTGCTCTGTAACCCCAACTTTCAAAACCTCAGCAAAAACAAACGGCTAACATCTCTGCTTTCCAAAGGAAGATATATATATATATATATTATTATCAAGTCTGATTCACTGTCTGTATTGATCTTTGTGTTGCGCAGAGAACGCCAGACAGCGGCAGGATGGGGTGGTGAGCAACTCCATCGTGTATTTCACTGAAGATCCCCCAGAACTGCCACCCAACAGTCCCCATCCCCTGAAGCTGCGGCGTATTCTCAACCTGAGCCCTTTCACTGTCACCGACCACACGCCAATGGAGACAGTGGTGGATATCTTCCGGAAACTGGGGCTCCGCCAGTGTCTGGTCACTCGCAGTGGGTAAGTAGGTGCACTAGTCGAGCACGCTTGCAGAATTCTTTAACATAAAGAAAAACACCACTTTTCCTGTCTAAAGCCAAGAATAAACAGTAAGTAATTAATCAGCACCACTGAGACAGCCAAGTGAATATTTTTATTTTAGCTATTTTGTGGCTAGAAGGACTAAGGAATGTATGCCCTGTGTCTCTGCGGAACAACTGAAGAAACCAGGGTCAGAACCAAACTTGCTCTTTCCAGTTGTCACGATTTGTGCTGTTCTCCCATATCCCAAGAGCATTGTCATTTAGAAAAAAAAATAAAGACCAATATGTCCTTGCAGAGAAGTCTGATATTTTCCACAGTGGGACATTTTGAAGAATAAATTAGACCAAATGACTGTCAAAGATGACCTCCAGGCACCAGTGCCTGGCTGATTTGCATGAACTGAAGTTCCGGCAAACACAAAATAAGTATTCTAAGTCACTCTATATTTTTCAATAGAGGAAGATCTGAAAAAAAACACACTGTTTGCAAAGGATGTGCCAGTTCCTAGGCATCCAGCTAGATTACATGCCTATGAAGAATATGATAAAGATATCAGTGGAGGGAAACTGATCTGTTCAGGTTTTTTTTTTTTTTTTTTTCTTAAGGAAAGTGGAAAGGCATATAAATGAAAAGTCTGTAAGAATCAACTCAACAAGTGGAGCAAATGAAATTAGAAGAGTAACAAGGTGTCCCATATGAACTAGAAAAAAACAGTTGTTCCCTAACTCCAATGGGATTTAAACTATTTTGAGAGCATTGTTTACCCCAGGATCTAGTGACAAGCACATATTTTATGATAAGATAGCAAAACCAGAACCAGAACATCATTGTTAAATTCTGAGGACTAAAATTTAGACTCCTGTAAAAGGCTTTTTGTTACTCAGATACGCTCCATATCAGCTGTTACAATCAATGCACCTCCATGCTCAGCTTAAAGAAAATAAGGACCATTACTTGAGATAGCAATTTAGGTCCTGATCTTGGGTGTTTGGGTTTGGAAATTTTGATTTTGAATAGTAACACTTCCATAAAAGGAAAGGTGAAATGACTATAACAATGATGTTCTAGAAATCAGCACCTCTTGGCTTTCAAAGATTGGAAATAAAATCCCTCAGGGTTGAGGATTAGAAAATTTTTGGCTCTCATAGGACTCATTTTTCTTAACAAATACAGTCCATTTAGGATTGCCGTCCTAAAACTGTACTTTCTCATCAGCCTAAATGAGAAATTATCACTCAGAGTATTACAGTGTTGGATAGTGAGAGTTTTGGAACATCTGTTCTTTAGCTTAAGTTTGTGTACCACTAAATCACATGCCATAGGTCAACTTAGTTTTGTGCTGTAGATCCCCTGCAGTCTGAGCCTAAGGAATGTCATTTCATATGAAGTGTTATTAATTGCGGCTCCTTATTCAGACATGTCCCCAAAGAAGGAGATAACAACTGAAAGTATTTCACTTACTAATCATAGCTGCAGTAGTAAAAATACATGAAGTGAGAATGGTTTTTATAAAAGAGAATCACTGGGGAATGGATGGGGTGGGCAGTGTTACATGGAAGCACTCGCAAAATATCCCTGCAGCTGAACAAGAAAAAATGGATGATGTATGCGATGATGGCTGACCTTTCCTTTCTTTCTCTCCTCCAGGAGGCTGCTGGGTATCATAACTAAAAAGGATGTATTAAGACATATGGCTCAAATGGCAAACCAGGACCCTGAATCTATCATGTTTAACTAGCCTGATAAAGGAAGAAGAGGGAAAGTAACCTCAAAGGGATCCCTTCTAGATTAACACAAAGGCTATGTTTGGTGTTTCATTTTGTTTAAAGAGAAAATGTAATGTGGATGAGGAATGGCCCAATATACCTCTGGCAGAGGGAGTGGATGCAGGATGGCACTTATTTAATGATGTAGGCAGTTTAGAAGCTCAGAGCAGCTGCAGACATCAAGCTGTGTTTCCTTAATGAGTTTCCTAACAGCTCAATTGCTGCATTTGTGGGTGTGTAAGTGATGTGGTGCTTAGAGGCAAAGAGCCAGGAGCACCAGTGGGATACATCGACATTCATAGTAACTCATGAGGCAGGTGTGAAGACTAGCAGACACTGTTTGTGTGCAAGTTATTAACAGATACAAAGCTTTGTGCTCCAGACTAGCGAGTGTGTGTGAGTAATGTCAGTTGTTTTTGTTCCTGAAATCATGCCTATTTACTAGCTAGACTGAATTATTATATTTTCATGAGGAAAAAAAATCATCACCTTTGTTTATTTTTGTAAAAGTTAAATAAATCAGGATGAGAGTTAAAGGAGCAAGAGTATACTTCAATTCACTTAAAAGCATATAGTTCTCTATTTCCCGTTTTAGTCCTTTGAATTTTATACAGTTTAGCATTTTTATCAGTCACTCTCCCTTTATTACTGTTGAAATGACTTATTTGTAAGGATTTATTATTTCTCTATGCAATTTTGCATACAGGTACTGTACTGTAATTTTTAATCGTAAGTGGTTTGCTGTCACAACAGGAAAGAGCACAAAAGCCCATGGAGGAGTTTTCACAGGCACAAAACAGTCTGCTGGACAACTCTTGTTGGTGTGAGTCGCAAGAGATCCAGTCCTTCACCCGTCTTCCTGCATGTAAAGAAACATCAGCATTTTTCACAGACTAATGAAGTTCTGCATTGGTTGCTGATTCTCTATTTTCTTCCTTTCTTCATTACCATTTCTTGGCATTTGTCTGCATGTGCCAAGAGATTATTTAAATTAATTTAGCGGAGGCACAGACACCTATTCTGTAGCATATCTGCTCCTTATGCTGCTGCTGTGAGTTGTAGGACTACAGAATCCCTCCCCCCAACACTGTGTCTGAATAAAGGAGCAAAAGGATTGAGAATGTAAACAACAATATCAAGACTTTAATTATTTATCCTTTTGCTCCAAGAACATGAGATTTAAAAGCCTACAGTAGGGACCACTGAGACCAAAACGATGAATTTTCCTAATCCCTTCTTCTGGTACTTTGAGATTCACTCAGTCAACATTGCCCGTATTAATATACTACTACTTTAGTCAATACTGTTATCAGTACAAGAGCAGCAAATTCTACCTGCAGTAACACATAATATATACTGCTTAATGTTTTGTTTCTTCCTGGAGGGAGTTTGGAGTTTCACTGGGAAGAGTTGGGATCCTAACTTAGATGCTCTGAAAATACCTTTCAGGAAGGGCTTCTGATCCTCTGAGACGCCTTCTTCATTTAGACATGTAAGACCTCTGGTACCTTTGCTCATCTTCACACAGATAACTTACTTACTTACACTTGAGCTAGTTGCATCCAAAAGGTCTTCAGGGAAAGGGTTTGAGTCCTTTCAAACAGGAGGAGCCTGCTGCTTGCTACAAAAGCCAGGCTATTGAGTCAACTTGCAGGCAATGTGCATGACCAATGTGTCTTTGAACAGAGACAAGAAGCCAGGTGCACCCTAAGTTAAATGCCCACTGCTACATGTTTCCAATTCCTCTCCTCATCTCAAGGGACCCTGCTTCCCTTTGGCAGATGTCCACCTGCATTCACACAATGTATGGCCCAAATTGCTTAAGTAAAAGAAACATAAGTAAATGGATAATTTTAATCTGTTAAATACACCATTTAACAACACAATTTGAAGAGACTAACGTAAATGTATGTAGCTCTGGCCAAAGCCCAGTGTGTATTTTCTGCTAACCAAACATCTGCAGTATTAAAGGGATATTGTTAAAACTATTTAAATTATAGAATCAAATCCTTTTCTTCTGAAACTAAGAAATGGCACACAATACGGTTGTTTCTGGTGTGTTTTTTTTTTTTTTTGTGAAGCAGTTATCAACCAAACTTCTAAAAAAGCAGCTAAGCCAACTATCTGTCCATTTGAACAGAGATGTCATCTTAAGAATCAATTAATTCCCATAACTAAAACCAAAAAGGAGTTTAGTACAATTATCAGTTTCTACCCAAAACTACCCAAAGGGATTTAGACTGAGATAAGTATGTTTACTTCTGAGGTCAATCTTCTTCTAAAATTTAAACTGAAAGGACTGTGGCTCTTTTTTTCCACTTTTATAACTCCAAATTTTAATATGTGCATAGAAAATCAACATTTTTTATCCATCTTGGTCTATGTTTACATAGGAAACAAATGGGCATACTCTCCCCATTTGAGCACTTTAAATCTTTCCATTATAAAGCAGGGAAAATTAGTTGGGATTGCTCATTTACCTGCTATATGAGATCAAATTCTTTGCTTCATGTATGTCAGGGAAAAAAGGGGGTGATCAAAAGCCTTCTCTGTTAGCCAAGGACATTTCAGTCCACAACACATTAACATTTAGTCCATGGCAGAGCTAACTTTGTAGTGTTCACAGTACTGAAGATGATATTTGCTAACAGGAACTGGGATGGTATATTAGCCCTAAAAAATGTCAATTCTTGAGAAAAAAAATGACAGAGGGAGCTGGCTGAAAAAAATAACAGTGAATGCAAACTCTTTTGAGTAGAGAGTTATCAGCTTAACCTCACTCCAAGGCTACGCATAGGCAAAAACCCCAGTGGCTAATTCCTGTTAATACCCAGAGGCCACTAAAACTAAGTCAGCCTTGTGATATCTTGTCACATAGGCATATTAGGCTGCACAGGAGAAGCTTTAGGGACTTAAGAACAGGATCCACAAAGTCATCATGATGATTTAAACGAAACATCAAGGAAAGAATCGAGACTTACTGAAAGTGCCGTTTGAGCCTAGGCCTGCCACCCAAACAGAGGACAGGCAAGTGGAAGTCCAGCTCTTTTCTGTGAAACCTGTTCATTGTTAGGTGGAATGATTAAATATTTAAAGGGTCGAAATGATAAAACTTTGGATGCTAACTCTATACATGAATGGTTAGACTGCCTCTCCTTGTTTCAATGTCTGTTAAAAGATCTTAGAGCTGAAATCCAGCCCTCCAGAAATGCTATAGGAGTAGTTAACTTCCAGCTGCTTAGCACTAATAAGGACGAGGTGGTGCTAGAATGACAAGGAGAGCTTTGAAACTGGACAGACTTTGCTAATTAAAAAAACTTAGAAGTTTAGACAGAGTCTGCAGCTGGCTCCAAGTTCTTCTGTTGACCTTCATCCATGCAGTATTGTCTCCATTGCTCTTTTAGCCTCAGTGACTGAAGGAGAAACACTCTTAGCATAAATTAAGAACACACTTTTCTCCAAAACGCAGTTCTAATGAAATGATTTAATGTAATTCCCCATAACAAGCCCATCATCAGTCAGTATTTTCCATCTGTATTCCCAAATGTGTCTCAGAACTTACTGAATAGACTCCAAGAGGCATATATCTCAGCCTTAAGTATTTATTTGAATCTGTAGAACTCAAGATAGAGTTAAGCAGCTTGATTAATTTAAGAGTTTTGTAAGTACTTTAGTATATAGTACTCAGTTTACACAACTACAGTTCAACCTTGGTGTTCAAGCTATTGAACTCTGGTGATGTCAAACCAAATGAGAAATCAAAAATCATTGAATGATGCAAGCTCAGAATTGTACTTTTGTTTTGCATGGACTGTGTTCGTTACATTCAGCTTCTGATGTGTACTTGAAGCTATCTGCACTAGAAAGTATATTATTAAAGTACAGAACGTGGATGATTTTAGCCAGACCCTTTGGCTGTCACTGTAATATCAACTATTAATACTTACTTTTTGATGAAGCAGACAAAAAGAGTGTTAAGAAATTACAGAAGACCCACTGATTTCATGTTGGACTAACACTGTTACAAATATTGTTTTGCTTTGTTGTTTTTTTTTAAACCATAGAAAACAGTATATATGTTGCACCTTATGAAAAATGATGTTTGGAGTCTATTTTTCAAATAAAACCGACTTACAGTACTGGAAACATTGGTGGAGCATGTTAATTGGAGAAGTATTTCTTTAATGTGTGTGTGTATGGTATTGAAGTTTACTTTTTCCAGCTATAACTCAAAGCCTGATGAACGAGTTAGTTAGGATATCTAATTCAGTTTTGAAATGGCTGTTATTATGTGGGCAGTTACTAAAATCGATGCAGTGGACTTCAAAGAATCAGTCTTGACATTTGGCTGTTCTGTTTTCAGAGTGCTGTAATTCATCAGCTCAGCATTATCAGTGCTTTATTAAAGAAATCTAAAAAGAAAAGAAAAAACATTTATCCTATCAGGTTGGTCTCTTTACAATCATCTTGAAACGTCTTTAAAGGTAAATAATGCAAAGCCCTTATGATTTCAGCTTTTATTTATATTTTTTCAGTTGCACTTAAATTTAGTGCTAAGATAAAACCTGAAAATGGCAGGTTCCATTCTAAGCACTTAATTGGATGAAACATCCGTTAAATCTCTGCCAGAGGATCTATTTTGGGAACAGCAAGGAATACAGGGTTCACCCTGATTAGTGTACTAACCAAACAAATAGAGAAGCTCTGTGGGTTAATGCAAATGAAGCATACATCGATGCTTTAGCTGAAAGAAGCATTTCAGATTTCAGTTCACTCCCTAGAGAACAAGTTTGATAAACTTGCTATATTTAGAATATCCTAGTTTAATTCAAATTACACAGTCCCTACTTCAGAATTTCTCCTCATTTACTGTACCTACTGCATTATTCTTCTTGCTTAGTTTGGCTCTGCATGCAAAATGCCTCCCAGATTCCATTTTGTTCTACTGTAGAAGCCAGTGCTGCAGTCCTAGAGGCACCAGCTTGTTCTGTGGATTGCTATGGCCCTAGGATTGCCTAATGCACATGCCAGAAAGCCAGGAGGCATCAGTCTTGCAGCAATTTAAATGAGAGGTAATAGTTCCTGTAGTCTGTAGTTGATCATAAGGGTCCAAACCTTAGACCTACCTGTCATCACCTGCAGTGGCCAAGCTGGGAAACAGAAGAGAAAATGTTCAGAGGAATCCACTGCTGCAAAGTTACGGCTCTGCACCAGCCAATCTAGCCGATGTGTTTGTTTCTTCTAAACTGAATGACACTTTGTCATCCATATGCCTTTTCCCTCCCTCCACAGCCCTTTCCTCCCCATCTGTGTGCCTGAAACAACATCTTCTGGGCTGTCCTGCTCTCTTACTCCAACTCCAAAGGCCATTGCACTGCTAACGTCTGCTGTGGTAGCCCGGATAGCCACCAAACACAGGCTTGCAGACACTGTAAGCAAGGTGCTCCCATGGCAGATGGGC